GCTAGAAAAAGGAAGAGTTTGCCATGAAGGCATTGTTGGCGAAAATAGATGTTAAAAATTCCATTTTTTAAAAATATCCATATGTTAAGCAGTGGTGTGAGCCACCACTTCTGGCCAGGAATGGTGGCTGACACCTGTAATCCTAGCACTCTGGGAGGCTGAGGCAGGAGGATCACTTGAGTGAGGTCAGGAGTTCGAGACCAGCCTGAGCAAGAGTGAGACCCCTATCTCTACCAAAAATGGAAAAAGTTAACTGGGCATGGTGGTGCCTGTAGTCACAGCTACTCTGGAGGCTGAGGCAGGAGGATCACTTGAGCCCAGGAGTTGGAGGTCACAGTGAGCTATGATGATGCCACTGCACTCTAGCCAGGGTAACACAGTGAGATTCTGCCTCAAAAAAAAAAAAAAGGAAAGAAAAAGAAAGTGCTTCTGGTCAGGCCTCAGATGGAAACGAGGAATGTGCTATTGGAAACTGGAGAGAGGTGACCCTTATTACAAAGTGGCAAAGAACCTGATCAAATTGTAGTCAAATGTTTTATGGAAGGTAGAACTAACTTGGAAACACTGAAATTGGATGTCTACCTGACGAGATTTCTAAGCAAAGTGTTGATAGTATAGCCTGGTTTCTCCTTAATGGTAATAGCAAAGTGTGAGAGGAGAGACATATGTTCAAAAAGGAATTGTTAAGCAAATAATAATAACAATAATAATCCGAACTTGAAGACTCAGAAAATCTTTAGCGTATCTATATTGCAAAAAAACGAGAAAGTGTGTTCTGGGGAGACAAGCAAGGCTGCGGCTGGACAACCAATTGCTAAAGAGGTCAGCTGTGTGATTTCTGGATCCATGTGGCCCTCTCAGCAGAAGCCAGTAATAGAAATGAGATCAGCAAGGAAAGATCTGTGGAGAACCCTCTTTTCTGACGGCTTGGTCCCCACCGATTGCACGGGACAAGGGTTTTATACCAGCAGAAGTGGCGCAAGCTTGGACTGAACGGGAAGAATGAAGAAAGGCTGTCAGACTCTGAGATTTTTAGAAGATGGGCCAAGAGAGAGAGCTGCAGGGCTGAGGACATGTGCTACCCTTCAAGGTAGATGGTTCCGAGGTTAGCAGGGATGGCCGGGTCCCCAGCAGGTGGAGGGCACAGGCCTGGAGGTAGGGCTGTCTCCTCCGCAGTCCCAGAGAGTCAGGCTCTGCCACCCGGGCTGAGGGGTTCAGGTCGCAACCCCACTGGGTCCCAGGGCCGGAGCTTTGAGCCAAAGAGGATTATTCTCTAGCCTTAAAATCTAATGGATTCCCCCTGATTGTTTAAGACTTGCTCAGAACCCATGGCCCAGAACTTCTTTTCCATGCCCCGGTTTTTGAATAGGAATGTCTGTCCTCTGTCTGTCGCTCCACAGTGTCCTGGCAGCACAGAACATGTCTCGTTTTACGCTGCGCAGCTGAAGGATTTCGCTTCAGCACGTGCCACAGCTGATGTCTCCCTCACACCTGATGGAGACGAGACTTAGACGAGATTTGGACTTAAGAGTTGATGCTGGAATGGGGTAAGATTTCAGGCCACCAGGAAGAAGCAAATGTATTTTGCCTGTGAGAAGGTCATGAATTCTGGGAGGCCAGAGGGTGGAGTGTTATGGCCTGAATCATGTCCTCCCTCCTCAAAGCTCCTGTGTCGAAGCCCCAGTGCCTGGTACTCAGAATGTCACTGTATTTAAATAGGACCTTTGAAAGCCAAAGTGAGGTTGTCGAGGTGGGCCCTGATCCAATATGACTGGTGTCCTTACCAAGAGAGATTAGGTCACACATATGCACACAGAGGGACGACCATGTGAAGACAGAGAAAGAAGACAACCACCTACAAGACAGGAGGGAGATTCTTAAAGAAACCAACCCAGCTAACATCTTGGTCTTGGAATTTCAACCCCAGAATTCTGAGAAAGTAAGTCTTGTTTTTTGAGCCACTCAGGCTGCAGTACTTTGTCACATCAGCGTGAGCAGATGAGGGTAGCGCTCCTTCAGAAATGTGGCATGACCACAAGGCCCAGCCAGACCCTCTCGCTGGAGTCAGGACGGCGTGGCCTGCCTGGTCACCTCCTCCCCAAACTTCCCAACTTGATGTGCATGTCTGTGGAAGCACACAGGCCTTCATCTCCATGTCTGGGGCCCAAGAGCCCATGCACAATCCCGGCCCCTGGAGAGGTGCCAGTGGGCTGGACATCTGTCCTGGGCCCTGACAGCTAGGCCAACCCGATGCGCTGTCAGTGCACATTTGTGAAACATCACACAGACAAGTGATGGAGGGAGAGATGACAATGACGTCAAGAGATATGTGGAAAGCACAGACCACATGGGTTAGGTGGGAGGAGAGAGAAGTCACTCAGGAGTCCACATGTGGTATTTACCCCTGACGGTGAGCGTGGCCGAGGTCCTCTCCTGCCCACACACGCACGAGTACTCCCCGGCATCCGCCACAGCCAGGCCACTGATTTGCAGTTCACATCGGGTCCCGTCCTGTCTCACGCTGTATCTGTCCCCATCTCTAAGGGTTTTTGTCCCCTTCCTCCACTCCACAAGGGCTGCCTTGCTCAGCTCACACCACAGTGTGGCCGTGGCCCCTTCTGTGGCCTCCTGGTTTCTCATGTCTTCTATGAACCTGGCAGGCAGGGCTGCGAAGGACCAAGCGGTCACTGAGAACATCAGACTGTCTGGAGGACTCTGTGTACAGGACACGGACACCCACACAGAGCCACACAAACTGCCACAGGACCACGGCATGAACGAGCAAACCCACGTACAGACGGTGAGGAGCCAATGGGAGGAACAGAGCACAGAGAGATAAACATGAACATGAGGATGTCTCTCAGCAAGGAGAAGGGGAGGTGGGAGATGCCAGAGGACCCAAGACAGAGGACAGATGCTCACAGGGTCACCACAGGAGCTGTGCCACATTGGGAGGCAGAAGGTGATGACAGGGAGACAATGTGTAGACACCAAGGCACGGGTCTACATGACCGCACATGATCTTTACCCTTGACGGTGAGCGTGGCCGAGGTCCTCTCCTGCCCACACACGCACGAGTACTCCCCAGCATCCGCCACGGCCAGGCCACGGATCTGCAGCTCACACGTGGTCCCGTCCTGCCTCAGGCTGTACCTGTCCCCATCTCTGAGGGTCTCGGGCCCCTTTCTCCACTCCACAGGGGCCACCTTGCTCAGCTCACACCGCAGTGTGGCCGTGGCCCCTTCTGTGGCCTCTTGATTTCTCACATGCTCTGTGAATCTGGCGGGAAGGGCTGAGAAGGGCCAAGCAGTCATTGAGAACATCCGATGGTCTGGACGACTTTGTGTATAGGACATGGAAACTCACAAAACGCCACACCAACTGCCCAAGGACCACGGCAGGAACAAGCAAACGAACATACAGAAGGTGAGGGGCCCAGTGGCCCAGGAGGAACAGAGAACAGGAAGGGATGGATGTGAACATAAGGACATCTTCTGACTACAAGAAGGGGAGATGGGAAACGCCCAGAGGACCCCAGACACAGGACAGACACCACAGGTTCACCCTGGGAGCTGTGTCACATTTGCTGGTGGTAGGTGGTGACGCAGACACAGCATGTAGACACTGAGCCACTGGCCCACAAATGATCTTTACCCCTGACAGTCAGCGTGGCCGAGGTCCTCTCCTGCCCACACACGCACAAGTACTCTCCAGTGTCCGCCACAGCCAGGCCATGGATCCGTAGCTCACACACGGCCTCATCCTGCCGCAGGCTGTATCTGTCCCCAGCTCTGAGGGTCTTGGGCCCCTTCCTCCACTCCACAGGGGCTGCCTTGCTCAGTTCACACCGCAAAGTGGCTGTGGCGCCTTCTGTGGCCTCCATGGTCTTCAGATCTTGAATGAATCGAGCAGGAAGGGCTAGGAAGGGTCACATGGACAGAAGCCGTCAAACCCTCTGGAATATTGAGGGACACAAGCTCAACATCCAGGAAGGAGACAGAAGCAGGAGGGCTGCAGGGACATGGAGCCCAGCAGATCCAAGACTGACGGCGAGGCCTTCCTGTGTTCCACCTGTGAGGGGCAGCTCAGCCCAGAGACGGGCTCCGTTCCCGACCTCTCGCCTTCTCAAAGGGCATCTTGTCCTACACATGACCTGTCATTCCTGGGAAGCAGTAACTTCTTCCAATTTGCAACCCGTAGATGCAACAAGGTAATGAACTGACTGCTCTCTCCCATCCTGTGACCCTACAGGAGACACCTCCCAGTCAGACTTCACTGCCCCACTGTCGCCCCTCATACAGGAGACGCCCCTCCCTGGCAGGGCTTCCTTCCAGCACTAGCCCTGCGTGGACACGCCTGGGCTCACCGCACACCCTCCCGGCCCACACTTTCCTGTCCTGACGCAGCTGGACCCACACTCCCACCCACTGCCCTGGCTCATGTCACCTAGACACCAGTGGACTGCAGCTGCAGCTTCCACACCATACCTGGCACTCCATCCTGCCATCCTCTCCTCCTTCCCTATGCACAGCAGAGTGAGAGCTCACAGGTTACGGGCTGCCTGGGCCCACCCTGGCTACACCCTCTTACGGTCTGATTGTGTCCCCCTAAAATTTGTATGTTGAAATCCTAACGTCTGGTACCTCAGAGTATCACTATTTAGAGATAAAGCCTTTAAAGTGGTCACTAAGGTAAAATGAGGCTGTCAGGGTGGGCCCTATTCCAGTGCGACTGATTTCATTATAAGAAGAGGTGGTCAGGACACAGGTGCACATAGAGGGGCCCATGTGAAGACATGGGGAGAAGACGCCGTCTACAAGCCAAGGTGCGAGGTCTCAGAGGAAGCCGGCCTACCAACACCTCGATCTTCAGACTTCTGGTGAGAAAACGAATGCAAACTTTTCAGTACCAGGAGTGGGGTGCAGTTCTAACAGTGACCTAAGAAAGTGGACGTGGCTTTGGAACCAGGTAACAGGTAAAGGCTGGATGACTGTTGGGGTGCCTAGAAAAAGCCTAGATTCCTATGAACAACCAGATCACGGAAAAACGGACATGAAAGATGCTTCTGGTCAGACCTCAGCTGGAAATAAAGAACACGTTATTGGAAACCGGAGGAAAGGAGATCCTTGTCACTACAATAAAGTGGCCAAGAACTTGGCCAGATTGTGTTCTAGTGCTCTGTGGAAGGTAGAAATGAAAACAGTGAAAGCTTGTGTGTCTAGCTGAGGAGATTGCTAAGAAACGCGTTGAAGGGAAGCCTGTTTTATCCTTGTTGATTATAGCAAAGTGCAAGAGAAGAGAAATGAATTGAAGAAGGAATTATAAATCAAATAAAATGAGCCAGGACTTGGAAGCTTTGGAAATTTGTCAGCCTGTCAATATTGTAAACTAGCGAGAAAGCGTGTTCTGGAGAGAACATGCAGCTGGGGCCGGACAGTCTTTTACTACAGAGAGATCTGTGGATCTGGTACGACCAGGTTCCGTATAAGTAGAGGAGATCACGACACAGACACACGCAGACGGACGACTCGTGTGAGGACACAGGGAGAAGGCGCCGTCTACAGGCCATGGAGAGAGGCCCCAGAAGAAACTGACCTGCGGACACCTTGATCTTCGGACTTCTACCCAGAAAGTGAGCAGACTGTGGTGCCAGGAGTGGGGTGCTACTGCAAAATGGCCTAAAATGTCCACTCGTTTTGCGGCAGGACGATGAATCGGCCATCTCAGCAGAAGCCACGCACAGAGATGCGGTTATGCAGGAAGCCCCTTCTCTGCTGGCCTGGGCCCGACACGCACGGGAGGCCAGCGAGGTTTTGGGAACTGCGCACCAGCACGGCGCGGCCAGACTGCACTGAACGGCCAGAGACGGGCGAGGTGAAGATGAAGGCAGGCTACCAGACTCTGGGGCTCTCCAGGCTGGACCTACGGTACGACGCGGATGCAAACGTGTGCTGTCCTTCAGGAGAAGGCAAGGATGGCTCCAAAGGTAACTCAGAGATCAGCAGGGCTCCCGCTGCCCACAGAGGCCCAGCAGCCAGGTCGCCTCTACCCAGGGCTGAGGGGGGAGGATGTTGCCCGGTCCGCGAGATTAGGGACACCATGGTTGGCCCAGAGGACACAGTATTGAGCCAAAGAGGATTATTCCCCAGGATTGAAATCACATGGAACTTTCCCTGGTAGATTCACATTTGCGTAAGACCCATGACCCAGCGTTTTTCTTTCCAGTTTCATCCTTTATGAATAGGGGTGTCTGCCCTGTTTGTCCCTCATCTGCATCCTGGTGGCACGTGACTTGTCTGGCCTCACAGTTTCACAGCTGAAGGGGAATTCTGCTTCAGGATGAGCCACGCTTGACGTCTCCCTCACTCTTGATGAAGACGGAGTTCACACGAGGCTGGGACTCAGCGTTGACGAGGCACAGGTCAGGATGTGGGCTGTTAGGAAGGGTGAGTGGATTGTGCCTCTGAGGAGGCCATGAATTTTCGGAGGCCAGAAGGTGGAGTGTTAAGGCCTGAAATGAGCCCCACCAAAAATTACTCTGTTGAAATCCTAATGCCAAGTGCCTCAAATGTCACTGTATTTAAACAGGATCTTTAAAAGCCAAAATGAGGTTGTTAGGGCAGGCCCCAATCCAGTGTGACTGGCGTCCTTCTCAAAAAAGATTGGGACACACACATGCACAAAGAGGGGTGACCATGTGAAGACACAAGGAGAAGATGGCTGTCTGCAAGACCGGGAGCAAAGGCTCGGGAGACACCCCCGCTGCCAACACCTTGATCTTGGAATTTCAGCCTCCAGAATCCTGAAGAAATAAACCTCTGTGGTTTGAGCCACCCAGTCTGCAGTGCCCTGTTCTGTCGGCCTGAGCAGATGAAGGCTGCACCTCTGCAGAACTCTGAGGAACAGGTATGACAAGACGGAGGACAAGCCACGGACTCACACAGGACGACATGACCAAACCACACTGGCACATGGGTGGGAAGCTGGGTGTAGATCCCGGCTTCTCCTGGTTCCTGCACTAGCCCAGGAGGCTGAGAGGGGCTCCGTGCAGCAATGGCAGCAGGGTGACACAGGCACAGGGAGAGCACGGGTGGACACAGACAGCATGGAGCCAACATGTGGACACCAGAACATGGCTCTGCTTGAACACCTGTGGTCTTTACCCCTGACGGTGAGCGTGGCCGAGGTCCTCTCCTCCCCGCACACGCACGAGTACTCCCCGGCATCCGCCACGGCCAGGCCACGGATCTCCAGCTCACATCGCGTCCCGTCCCTCCTCATTCTGTATCTGTCCCCATCTCTGAGGGTCTCGGGCCCCTTCCTCCACTCCACGAGGGCCGCCTTGCTCAGCTCACACCGCAGCGTGACCACAGCCCCTTCTGTGGCCTGCTGGTTTCTCACGTGTTCTATGAACCTGGCAGGTAGGGCTGGGGAGGACCAAGCGGTCACTGAGAACATCAGACTGACTGGAGGACAAGTGCACAGGACACGGACACCCACGTGGACCCACAAAAACTGCCAAAGGGCCACGACATGAGCAAGTAAATGTACAGACGGTGAGAAAACAAGTGGCCCAGGATGAACAGAGAACATAAGAAGTGGATGTGAATGTGAAGAGATGTGACAAGGAGAAGGGGAGGTAACAGGTACCCAGGGGACCCCAGTTACAGGACAGATGACCACAGGTTGCCACAGGAGTTGTGCCACATTTGGAGACACAAGTTGGTGATGGGGAGACAACATGTAGACACGAAGCCACGCATCCACGTGGTCACACACACACAATCTTTACCCCTGACCGTGAGCACGGCTGTGGTCCTCTCCTGCCCACACACACACGAGTACTCCCCGGTGTCTTCCACGGCCAGGCCACGGATTTGCAGCTCACACACGGCCCCGTCCTGCCTCAGGCTGTATCGGTCCCCATCTCTGAGGGTCTTGGGCCCCTTTCGCCACTCCACAGGGGCTGCCTTGCTCAGCTCACACTGCAACATGGCCGTGGCCCCTTCTGTGGCCTCTACATTCCTCAGATCCTCTGTGAACTTGGCAGGCAGGGCTGAAGAGGGTCAGAAAACAAACACCGTCGCACCCTCTGAGCGCACGGAAGAGATGAGACGTGGTTGACACAGGGAAGACACAGAACCCAACTGGATGTAGGCCACATGCAGAGTGGGCTGAACATAGGACGTGGGCTGTGGTTTCCCTGAGTCCAGCCTGTTTGCATCATGCCCACGGCCCCTTCCGTGGCCCCTCCGGCCTCACACATTGTGTGGATCTGGCTGGCAGGGCGTGAACCACGTGAGGAGAACAGTATGGGCCACTCAACAAGGAAACACGCACACTCCGGAACAAACCAGGAATAAAAGCGTGGACACATGCGTGTGAAGCAGCATACTGGAGCAAAGAACAGACTGGCCCAGCACATCCAGGGAGGGACGTGGAGCAGCTGGGATCCTTAGCGAGGACCCCAGGATGAGGCCAGGTGCACAGAAGCGGCCACAGGACCCGTGGCATGGATGGGCAGAGGATGGATATCCCCTCCCCAGGACCTTCTGTGGCCCGTCCTGGCTCAGACTGCACCTATCACCAGATCTTAGGGCCCAGCCCAGCCTGCAGGCTCAGCTCCCACCACGCCGTGGCCCTGGCCCTGTTCTGTGGCTCCTTATTTCATAGCTGTTTTGTGATCCTGACGGGCGCTGGGAGGAAGGAGACACAATTGGCCAAAAAGCCTCCCTTGAGGTTGTACCCCCTCGTACTTCATCAATTCCTGCTGCTCCTGAGGCCAGAGCTCAGGACAGGTGGCAATGCCGGACTTGCACACGTGTCTGCTCGCATTCTCTAGAGGGGAGCCACATGTGGTCCAGGCGGGGCACGCACAACCTGAGGCCTTCTTAGGGCTGGCCACTCCAGAAGCGGCTGTCTCAGGTAGCCCATGGCTGGTCCCCTCAGTCCTCTGCTTCTCAGACATGTGACGGGGCTTGGAGCCCCATGTCCCTCTGTGGTCTCCTGGTGGATGTGATGCCACAAGGAGCCGGTGCCTCCACGGTACAGACGCTGTGCTCCGTCCATGTGGCTGGAGAAGCGTGGCAGCCAGGCCTCTCTCCATGATGTTCACGCACAGGCAAGCGCCTCCTGCTACAGGCGTGAGCAGCCAGATGATGGCCACGCCCGGCCCCCAGGACTCACTTCTTCACTGGCCTGGGGCTCCAGCTTTGCCGTGTGAGCAGAGCCCAAGAGAGTCCCGGGCCAGAGGCCCCCCGCGTCTGCAGAGACGTCCTTCCCTCCACTCTAAGATGAACAGGCCTTTCGGCAATGGCTGCCTTTGTTTCATCTGCTTGAAAGTGACCAAGGGCCACCTGGGCACCTAGACCCTCAATACCCGGCCACCAGCCACACCAGGGCAGGGCTCCCGGCTTCATGGATGTGCAAGATGAGGCCTAAAGGGCCCTTTCCCTCCTGTGGGGAACGCTGCAGTTACTCAAGGGTGGAAGCTTCTCCCCAGTGTGACCATGAGGCCATGGGTGGGGGCGCCGAGTGCAGTGGCCTCACCTCCCCAGGTAAGCCCAGATCAGGCTGAGGTCTGCTCCTGCCAAACACACCTGTGAACACCCAGGATGCACCAGGGCCAGGACACGTGTCTCTAGAACATCCTGCCCAGCTCTGTATCTGCCCCCACCTCTAAGGGTCCTGGGCCACTTTGTCCACTCCACCGGGGCTGCCTTAGTCTGACCACAGCCCACTGTGACCATGGCCCCTTGTGTGACATGCTCAGGCCGTAGCCCCTGTTCTCGATGTGGTCATTAGGACGTGGTTACACAACACATCATACTCTGCAGAGCGTGGACAGGCACCAGTTACGGAGACCACCCGGGCAACGCAGGACACACAGCAGGCAGCAGCCAGGGGACCAACCAGGAGCCAGGACAGCTGTGTGTCCTTGCTGCACCCCGAGACCCCAGACACCAGGCCACAGGCACAGCACAGAAGACAGGGTATCCCCTGCACCTCACCCCACGCCACACGTCCTGCCCCCATGGCCTGGGACAGGGGTCCTGCCTGGTATTCCTGCTTGGGGGCCCCTCCTAGTTCACCCTGCTACCCCCTTCCTGCTGCTCTCCCCCGTGAAGACCTTCGGCTGTATTTTTTCTAATTATTTATTTCTCCCCAGGATCATCTATTCCTGGCTGTGGCCCCGTGGGGACGAGGAAAGGCGCCCGTTCTCTACTGTTCCCCAGATCCTGAGATGGGTGCCCCAGAGCAGGTGAGAAATCCAGGCTGCGGGACCGAGGGAGAGACCAGGACACAGGCACAGGGTGGGAGCGTGGGTGAGTGCTCAGACGCACAGCCACACACACACGTGGCCAGATGTGGGCTTTACCCCTGACGGTGAGCGTGGCCAAGGTCCGCTCCTCCCCACACACGCACGAGTACTCCCCGGCATCCACCGCGGCCAGGCCACGGATCTGCAGCTCACACAAGGCCCCGTCCTGCCTCAGGCTATATCTGTCCCCATCTCTGAGGGTCTCGGGCCCCTTCCGCCACTCCACGGGGGCCACCTTGTTCAGCTCACACCGAAGCGTGGCCGTGGTGCCTTCTGTGGCCTCTTGGTTTCTCAGTCTTCCTATGAAGTGGGCAGGCAGGGCTGGGGAGGGACAGAGAGACACGGAGAACATCAGACTCCCTAGAGGGTGCTAGGGGACAGAACATGCCCAGACGGACACAGAATCCCCTAGGACGGAGCCCACGGCAGCATGGTGAGGGAGGCTGGATGTACATGCTGCTTTCCCCTGGTTCCTGCAACAGCGCGGACGGCTGGAAAGGGCTCCGTGGCGTGAAGGGAAGAGCGTGGCACAGAGTCCGGGGGAATGAGTGGAAACGGACGGCAGGGAGTCAGTAATCAGAGAGCAGAACGCAGATCGACCTGGACACCAGTCTTACCCCTGACGGTGAGCGTGGCCGAGGTCCTCTCCTCCCCGCACACGCACGAGCATCCGCCACGGCCAGGCCACGGATCTCCAGCTCACATCGGGTCCCGTCCCTCCTCATTCCGTATCTGTCCCCATCTCTGAGGGTCTCGGCCCCCTTCTTCCACTGCACAGGGGCCGCCTTGCTCAGCTCACACCGCAGCGAGGCCACAGTCCCTTCCGTGGCCTCCTTGTCTCTCAGTTTCCCTGTGAACTGGGCGGGCAGGGCTGCAACAAGGCCAGACGGACACAGAGACGTCACCTGTGCTCTTCCACACTGAATGGAGGGGCCACGTCAGGCCTCACGGGGCAGAGGGCGAGGCTTACCTTTCACGGTGAGCGTGGCCGACGTCACCTGGTCCCCGAAGGAGCATGAGTACTGCCCGCTGTCCTGGGGCTGCAGGGCCCGCACCACCAGCTCCAGCACGGCACCCTCCTGGCGCAGGCTGTACTTGTCACCCGATCTTAGGATGCTGTCCCCGCGTCGCCACTCCACAGGCGCGGCCACAGACGACAGGATGCAGCGCAGCGTCGCAGCGCCACCCTCTGGCACCTCCAGGTCCTTCAGGGCCTCCTGGAACCGCACCGGCCGGGCTGTGGACAGACCTGGGCTCAGCTCACCCCCCTCGCCCTGGGCCCTGCCCGGGGACCCCTGAAGGTGGAGGAGGGCTGGGGCAAGGGCCTCCGCAGGGGCCAGGCCAGCCCACCTCCCGCCCTCTGCCTCGGGGGCCGGTGGCAGGGACCCCAAGGCCTCTGGGAAGGGGCAGATGTGGAGATGAGTGACGAGAACGATGCTCCAAGCAGCAGGAGGACAGAGAAGGGTGGAGTGTCACGGACTGAATTGTGTCCTGCCCACACAATTCATGTGGTGCAGCCCTGACCCTGGACCTCAGATGTGGCTGTACTTGGAGACGGGGCCTTCAAAGAGGGAATTAAGGTAAAATGAGCTCATCTGGCTGGGCCCGCATCTCGCAGGCCTGGCGTCCTCATGAGAAGACGAGGTCAGAACACAGACACGCACAGAGGAACAACCGCGGAAGGACACAGGGAGGAGACGGCCTCCGCAAGCCCGGGGAGCTCACCGTGGACCCTGACGATGGCGCTGCAGCAGGCCCCCCGGGCCTCGCACTTGTAGCGCCCGCCGTCCTGCGGGGTGGCCCCGCTGAGGACCAGCTGGGCCCGGCGGCCCTCGTAGCTCAGCTGACACCGGGCGGACGGCCGCAGGGTCTTCCCGTCCTTGGTCCAGCACACGGGGCTGTCCGGGACACTGGTCTCACACGTGAGGGTCAGGTCCTCGCCCTCTGTGACCGTGGTGTCTGTGAGCTCCTGGGAGAAGATGCTCGGCTTCTCTGGGGGACAGGGACAGAAGCGAAAAGTGTCTGGGGGCGGCTACTGTGCTCACTGCAGAGGTGACAGCAAACCAGGCCCCCGGGTCAGTGCCACCTGCCGCTGCCCTCGGGCCCGGGTCGCAGAAAGGGCTGTGGAGGGGACAGGGCAGGCTCTGGGTGGCTCCCGCCCCAGCAAAACACAGTCTGGCCTGTGCCACACCGGGCACAATTCTGTAAGTCACATGGAAGGAATTCAGTGTGGAACAGCCCGACTCAGCCTGCAGAGTCCCCACCCCACGGGCAGCCAATTGCACCTTCTCCCTGCACCTGGGGACCACGCTTCGCCCGTGGCCAAGCAGCACGCACCTGCACGAGGCTGCACCCGAGTGACGTGGACAACACGGAGTCCCCCCACCACGGCTCTGGCCTCCAGGCACACAACCTACCAGTGACCCGGAGGGCAGCCGAGGCCCGCTGGTCGCCTGCCTCAAAGTGGATGGTGCCCGAGTCCTTGAGTGCAAGCTGCCGCAGCGTCAGCACGTGGTAGCCCCCGGGCTGGGCCTCGATCTCGTTGAGCTCGTTGGGGTGCAGGGGCGTCTTGTCCAGGAACCAGTACACGGGCTTGTAGTCGGCGGGGCAGACCCGGCAGCGGAAGGTGGCCGAGGAGCCCTCCCGCACGTCCTCGTCCTCCAGGTCCTCGATGATGCGCACGCTCTGGCCTGCAGGGCACAGACGGGCACGTCAGGGGTCCCTGCTGTCTGGGGGCCCGCTCGGCCTGCTCCCCAGGAGGGAGCGAGAGTGGCTTTGCCTCACGAGCTCCTGTCGATGGAACTCCGAAAACAAGCAGACCAGAGCAGAACACTCCAAAGATGTTTGGGGACCACCTCTGAGCCCCAAACCTTGGGGGTCCTTCTGCAAAGCCTGCTGGGGGAGGCCACAGCCTGCTGAGAACCAGACGAGGTGCGTCCTGCCCCCTCCGACGGAGCTGAGCTTCCCGAGAGCAGCTGCCTGGTCCCAAACCTGCTCTTGTCGTTATGATCGGGCAACGACATGAAATCTCGTATTAACAGAAGAAACCTGAGTGTTTTTACAGGGCTATATTAAAATTTAATTCAAACGGTTCGGAGGATGGAGAATGTGAATTCCTAGAAGGACGGTTTTTTTGCTGTTGAATTAGCGATGTTAAAGAAAAGAGAGAGTTTACGAATATTGAGGTAACTTGTGCATTCAGATTCCTTCCGCATCCGTTAAGTTCCTCCAAGGAATGACTCCACTTCAAATGTATGTGGCACCCAAGTGACGAAGAACTCTGCATCCCCGACCAGACTGGTGGTCATCTGTATGTTTTAATTTTTTAAAAAGTATCTTTCATTATTTCATGACTCTCACCTTCACTGATTTTTTTTTATTAACTATGGTTACCAACTTTGTTAGATCATGGGGTTTTAACTGAGCTGGCAAAATGCTTTCACTAAATGCACTGAATTCACCAGAGAGAAAAAGTTGGAGTGGAGCTTCCTGGTTTATATTATTAGGTTGGTGCAAAAGTAATTGCAGTGCTAGCATAGTTGAAGTTTGCCATTTGCTGTTAGAATACGTCCTTAAATAAATGTGGTTATGTTACACGTCGTTTTAATGTGCATTTCTCACTTTGTGTTTTTTTGCTAATGACTTATTACTTGCTGTTTATTTTTTTTAATTTTTTTTATTTTTGAGACAGAGTCTCGCTTTGTTGCCCGGGCTAGAGTGAGTGCTGTGGTGTCAGCCTAGCTCACAGCAACCTCAAACTCCTGGGCTCAAGCGATCCTCCTGCCTCAGCCTCCCGAGTAGCTGGGACTACAGGCATGCGCCACCATGCCCGGCTAGTTTTTTCTATATATTTTTAGTTGTCCAGTTAATTTCTTTCTATTTTTAGTAGAGACGGGGTCTCACTCTTGCTCAGGCTGGTCTTGAACTCCTGAGCTCAAACGATCTGCCCGCCTCAGCCTCCCAGAGTGCTAGGGTTACAGGCGTGAGCCACCACACCCGGCCACTTGCTGTTTATTTTACATTTATTTTAGACTATGGAGATCATGTCAGACAAAAAGCAAATTCGAGTGATTTTCTTATTCGAGTTCAAAATGGGTCGTAAAGCAGTGGAGACAACTCGCAACATCAATAACGCATTTGGTCCAGGAACTGCTAACGAACGTACAGTGCGGTGGTGGTTCCAGAAGTTTTGCAAAGGAGACCAGAGCAGTGAAGATGAGGAGCGCAGTGGCTGGTCATTGGAAGTTGACCACGACCAATTGAGAGCAATCATCGAAGCTGATCCTCTTACAACTACACAAAAAGTTGTTGAAGAACTCAACGTCGACCATTCTACGGTCATTCGCCATTTGAAGCAAATTGGAAAGGTGAAAAAGCTCAATAAGTGTGTGCCTCGTGAGCTGACTGAAAATCAAAAAAATCGTCCTTTTGAAGTGTCGTCTTCTCGTACGCAACGACGAACCATTTCTCAATCAGATTGTGATGTGTGACAAAAAGTGGATTTTATACAACAACTGGCAACGACCAGCTCAGTGGTTGGACTGAGAAGCTACAAAGCACTTCCCAAAGCCACACTTGCACCAAAAAAGGTCGTGGTCACCATTTGGCGGTCTGCTGCTGGTCTGATCCACCACAACTTTCCGGATCCCGACGAAACCATCACATCTGAGAAGTCTGCTCAGCAAATTGATGAGATGCCCCAAAACTGGAACACCTGCAGCCGGCATTGTCAACAGAAAGGGCCCAATTCTCCACTATGAGGCCCGAATGCACGTCGCACAACCAACGCTTCAGAAGTTGAACGCGCTGGGCTGCGAAGTTTTGCCTCATCCGCCATATTCACCTGACCTCTCGCCAACCGACTACCACTTCTTCACGCATCTTGACAACTTTTTGCAGGGAAAACGCTTCCCCAACGAGCAGGATGCAGAAAATGCTTTCCAAGAGTTCGCTGAATCCTGAAACATGGATTCTTATGCTACAGAAATAAACAAACTTATTTCTCGTTGGCAAAAATGTGTTGATTGTCATGGTTCCCATTTTGATTAATAAAGATGTATGTGAGCCTACTTATAATGATTTAAAATTAATAGTCTGAAACCATAATTATTTTTGCACTAACCTAATACTTCCTTATTTTGTTGTTTTGTTTGTTTTGTTTTTTGAGACAGGGTCTCGCTCTGTCGCCAGGCTGGACTGCAATGGTGTGATCACAGTTCACTGCAGCCTCTAATTCCTGGGCTCAAGTGATCCTCCTGCCTCAGCCTCCCAAGTAGCTAGGACTACAGATGTGCACCACAATGTCTGGCTAGTTTTTTAACTTCTTTGTAGAGATGGGGTCTCACTATGTGCCCAGGATGGTCTTCAACTCCTGGCCTCAGATGATGCTCTCTCCTCGGCACCTCAGAGTGCTGAGATTACAGGCGTGAGCCACCGTACCTGGCCTTATGGTCTAGCACACTGAGCCCCTACCACACAATGCCCTGCGCCACCTCAGGACTCTGCAGGGTCCCCACCAGCAAGAAAGCTCTCACCAGATGCAGCTTCCTGACCTTGGACTTACCAGCCTCCAAACTATAAGAAATTCCTTTCCTTTATAAATCACCCAGTTTCAGGTATTCTGTTACAAGCAGCAGAAAATGAACTAAGACACCACTGTAAGTATCAATGACAGTGCTATGGACCACGGGTTCTTCCCTGGGAGCACCTGAAGCCCCCGGCCATCAGCACATCTGGCCTGGCTGCACCTCTGAGAAGAGGGTGATACACTTTGTGTTCAAATACACGCAGAAGTCACATACGGGGGCCTGGCACACACTGCACACACGTGAGAAATATGCAGCCAGCAAATAAATGTGTGAATAAGTGAAGGTCACTGGCTCGTTCACAGGTCAAGCTAGGAGAGCCTCGGAGACCACCCAGGGTGTCCCCTCCATCCTCGAGGCTGAGGCTGACCCCATCTAGAGCCCAATCTCCTGACTGTATCCGAATCTCCAGGGTCAAGTTCAAACAGAGCCTGGGCCTGAGCACACCCGGCGGCCTCACCTTGCACCAGGAGCCGGGCCTGGGACTGGGCCTGGCCGATGTCGCAAGTGTAGGTGTCGCTGTCTGCCTTCTCCAGGGCAGTGACGGTGAGCCTCAGCGTCAGGCCCTCCTGGCTGGGCCGGTGCTTCCCTGAGGCCCGCAGCTCCGCGAGGCCCTTGCGCCAGGTCACCGCAGCCGCGGGCCTCTCTGTCTTGCACGTGAACACAGCCGTGCCCTTCTCCTCCACACGCAGGTCGGCCAGCTCCTCCGTGAACCGGTTTGCCTTTTCTGCGGGCGGGAGACGGAGGCAGAACAGGTCGGGTGTGAGGCCTGGGCGAGCCCTTCCACCTGGGACGGGGGAGCTGAGGTTCCCGGGGGTGCCCCGCCGTGGGGGAGAGGCTACCGCAGGGCCATGGGTGGGACCTGCCGTGGCGTCTACCTTCCACGCGGAGGCTGGCTGTGCTCCTGGCATCCTCCACCTCACACGTGTATGTGCCCGAATCCTTGAGTGAGGCCCCGCGGACGACCAGCGTGGCCTGCGTGCCGTCGACGAGCACGTCGTACTTCTGACTCTTGCGGATGGCCTTGCCGTCCTTCAGCCAGCGCACGGGGGCGCCCGCCCGCGAGAGCTCGCAGTACAGCACCGCGTCCTCCCCCAGCACGGCTCGCTGGTCTTCCAGGGGCTTCGTGAAGTTCGCCGGCCTCTCTGAAGGGAACAGAGGTGGCTGCCGGTGAGGCGCGGCCGTGGCGCCAGCCACAGAGGTAGCCACCGCCCCAGTGACACTCATGCCCCAGCCACAGCCTGGATGGGGACGGGGTCAGACGTCTGAGAATGTTCAATCTCTAGTAACCGAGATCACAGAACCTACAGCCCTCAAACACAGGGACCCCAGAAGCCTCAGAGCCCGGGAGCACTGGGAGCCGGGGCCCGGGAGGTGGGGGTATGAGACACGATTGCGTCCCAGCAGCACCCTGAGCCTGTCACTCAGCGTGTGGCCACAGGCCAGCGGCGCCTGTGCGTGAGCTCCCTGGATCCGCAGCGCGTGTACGCACCAGGAGCACAACTTCAGGGGCACCCGTGGTGACCTCGCAGCCGAGTGGGTGGCCCTGGCCTCGGCTCAGCATCGTCACACTGGCTCGGTGAGCCACCGGCCCTGAGATCTGCTGAGCAGACCACGGATTGGACCAGAATCCAGGCCAGCATCAAAGGCCTGGAGAAGCTTGTCTGAGAGTGTGACCCCCTCCCTACCTGAGTGGAGTCTCCCCAAGACCCCAGCAGGGACCTCTGGGCCCCCACAGCCGCTAGAAGGGGCCTGGGGAGATGAGCCCTGGAAGCACACCCTGGTGGCTGCCCCCGCCCCGGCCAGATGTGCCCACCTCTGACGATGAGCGAGGCCTTGGAGGTGAGGCCCCGCACAGAGAAGACCACCTCCCCGGCATCGCTGGGCACAGCGTCGGTGACCGTCAGCATGTATTTCCGGCCCTGGCACGTGGCCCGGAAGTGGCCGGAGCTGCCCACTGTCTTCCCGTCAACCGTCCACGTGGCTGGGTCACCGGTGCTCTCGTGGGACAGGACGCACTCAAAGGTGCAGCTGTCACCTGCCAGCACCTCCGTCGTCTTTAGCCTCTTGGTGATGCCCACGTGCAGGTCTGCAGGCCACAGAAACAGGTCAGGCCGGCTGGCCATGGCACTGCCCCAGGCCCGACCCCCAGGAAGGACCAGACCTGGAGGAGCCAGGCCATGCTTCCCCGCCCATCGGCAGTGCCCTTCGCCCAGAGTTGCCACGTCCTGGCGTCTGGACAACTGAGACCGCTGGGCTCCACCCAGCTCAGGGTGGGCAAGAGCACAGGCCGCCTGCAGTTGTCGCAGGCTCGTAACGTCCCAGAGAGGAAAGAGGAGCCCGGAGGAAGGGGGACCCCAGACGGGGTGAGTCAACCCAGATGCCTCCGGGGTTAGGCTCTGGATTGCAGGTAGCTGGGCAAGGACGGTGGCACACTTGGGCCAGGCAGCCACCCTGCAGTTGAGGGACCCGCCCTAGCTGAGAGGGACGTGCCCCAGGGGACCGCACCCCGAGGCCAGGACTGGGGCAGGGAGATGACAGCAGAAAGGCCCTGTGGGATGGGGACGTGGCCACCCACAGCCCCTGCTTGCAGTCTCGGCTTCTTCCTTCCCGGCCTCCCTGGCTCAGCAGAGCGGCCCCGCATCTCAGAGAACAGAGCAGGCTGCCCCTGCAGAGGCTGACAGCCGAGTCCCCCGCACCCCCGCCCAACCGCGCGGCCACGCACCGTGCACGCTGACCCGGGCTCGGGTCTCCTCCCTGCCCACATGGCAGGCGTACAGGCCGGCGTCCTCCGGGCTCAGGTCATGCACCACCAGCCCCCGCATGCCGGCCGTGTGCAGGAAGTCGTACTTGTCGCTGGGGCCCAGTGGCACACCATCTTTGTGCCACACCACGCGGGTCTCAGGGTCGGACACCTCACAGTGCAGGGCCAGGGTGCCGCGCTCCTCTGCGGACACGTCGTCCAGCGCCTTCAGGAACACCACCGGCTTCGCTGCAGGGGGTCATGGGCTGGTGAGGGGAGCCTGGGGCCCACCCCGAGCGTGGGACCCCGCAGGCACTGCAGACCCCATGGGGACGGCTCACCTCGGACCTCCAGGCGGGCGGAGGCCGACACCTTTGGGGAGGCTGCGCGCACTGTGCCCGCATCCGCCAGGCGGACGCTCTTCAGCACCAGCGTGTGGCGCCGGCCCTCGTGTGTGATCTCGTGGAAGCTGTCGTTGTACAAGGGTGCCCCATTGAGCGACCACTCGACCTCCTCGTCCTCGTGGGACAGCTCGCAGGAGAAGCTGACCCGGCCCTCCTCTGGGGCCTCAGCGTCCTGCAGCGGCTGCGTCACCATCACCTCCCGTGCTGCGAGGGGTGCGAAGAGACTCAGCGCCTGGGTGGCTGCCCCATCCCTGCAGGCTCTCCCCACGCCCGTGATTCCATCGCGCCCCACCTTCCACGGTGACCTCGGCGCTGCTCTGGGCACTGCCCGCCTGGCACCGGTAGACGCCGGCGTCGGCGGGAGTGAGCCGGAGGACACGCAGCTCAGCCATCTGACCCTGCAGGCTCATCTTGAATTTGTCGGAGGGAGACAGGGGTGTGTCATCTTTGTACCACTGCACGGCCTTGGGTGGTGGCCGGAAGTCACAGGACAGGACCACCGACTGCAGCTCGCGCCCCGTCTTGGGCTCCAGAGGCCGCGTGAGGACCACGGGGATGTCTGCAAGGGAGCGGGGAGAGGCTGGGCTGCGGGGCCGCGAGAAACTCCTTGCCCGGCCCTGCCTGCCGAGGCCTCCGCCTGTCCACCCGTGGATCTGAACTGTGTCCATGCGTGGCCTTGAGCCACGTCCACTTGTGACCCTGAATCGCATCTACCCCGGTCCTGAACTATGTCTTCTTGTGGCCCTAAGCTGTGTCTTCTTGTGGCCCTAAATTGCAACCTCCTGTGGCCCTGAGCTGTGTCCTATCATGGCCCTGAACCACATCTACCTGTGGCCCTGGACCGCGCCCACACGCGGCCCTGCCCCATGTCACCCACCAGGCTGAGCCCTCACCTGAGACCACGAGGTGGGCGGAGGAGCGGGACTTGCCGATGGTGAAGTGCACGGGCCCGGTCATGGTGGAGTAGGTCCGCCGCAGCGTCAGCCGGTGCACCGTGCCCTCCTGCTCCAGGCTCACGTCCGGTCCTGCCTTCAGCACCATCTTCCCCAGGAGCCACTTGGGTGGCCGCACCGAGGGGATGGAGGTCTCGCACTCGAACCAGGCAGGGGCGGGCTCCATCACCGTCACATCCTGCAGGCCCCGCACGATGGTGATGGATTGCTCTGTGGGGCACGAGTGGTCACCAGCGGGTCCCACGGGGAGGACCAGCCATCCCCTGCTGCAGGCTCCAGTTCCTTACTGGGAACCAACCCTGTCCGGCCACACCCAATGCGTGCTGGCTTCCTGCCCCGCTGCCCGGAGGCACCGCCAGGCCCCTCTCACACCCGGCCCCCTCCAGGAGCGCAGGGCAAACAGTTGGTCGAAGCCAGAGAGACCCTCCCCATCGGTGACCTCGAGAGCTGCCCGCCCGCCTGCCCACACCTTCCACAAAGAACTGGGCGCTGGTCTTGACGTCACCGGCATCGCAAGTGTAGGTGTCCTCGTCCTCAGGCTGCACGTCTTTGATGACCAGCTTGCGGTAGACGCCATCACTGATCATCTCGTACTTGGGCCCGGGCTGCAGCTCCTGGCTGCCCCTGAACCACCGCACCTGGGCGCTGGCCCGGGACACCTGACACTCGAGCACGCCCCGGTGCTTCTCCATGGCGATCTTGTCCCGCAGCGGGCGCAGGAGGGTCACCGGCAGCTCTGTGGGCACAGCAGCCACGGCAGGACATGAGGGCCAGTGCTTGGCACGCAGGCCTCAGGGTCTCAGACAGCCAAAGGCCGAGGGCCAGGGGCCAAAGGTCTGGCACCCGCTTGGCCCCAACAGTCCACTTGTGCCCGGCCAGCACGTGGTCAGGCCGAGTGTCCCCTCTGAGATGGTCTAGGATCCTCTGCATACAAATTGACCACCAGAGAGGTGGGTGCTCCCCCACCCCCGGCATCCGTGAACGCTCACGCATGCCCCATCGCGCCCCACATCCCAGCCCCACGGGTACGCATCCTGTATCCTGGTCCCACGTGTGCTCTCCCGGGGCCCATCTGTGCCCTGACCCTTGCTCACCCCGCCCACTCCCTCCCCATGCAGGCCCCGCCCTGTACTCTCTGCCCCACCTACCATGCCCTGCCTGCCTTCTCTCCGCCCGCCCTGTGCTCGCCCCTCCCATGCCCCTGTCTGCAGACCCTCCCTCCCTCACACCCCACGGCCACTCTCCCATGACTGTCATCAGGGCCACAAGGACTGTCATCTCCGCCTGCCAGGGCCGCACGCCCCTTCTCTCTGGCACTGGCTGCGGCCGGGGGCAGAATGCCCTTACACCTCCATGGTAAACACAGGCTCGGGGGAAACGCCCCAGGCCGCTTCCCCGCACTCATCTTTCAGCTAAGGAGGCGACAGCCCCCTGCCCATACTAAGTAAGTCACTGCTGTCCCACTCCCAGGACGGGGCTGGGGAGCCCCAGGCCTGTTCTAGGCCAACTGGCCCATGAAGCTGCGCGCGCGCACACACACACACACATACACGAACGCACACAAATACACACATGCACGCACACACACATACGTGCACACACACATACACGCACACACACACCCTGCGGCACCCCCGCCTCACCTTTCACTCGGAGCTGGGCTCTAGATTCTGCGTTTTCCGCTACAAACTTGATTTCTCCTGCGTCTTCCGCCAGGACCCTCCAGTAGATGAGCGTGTATCTCCTTCCTGGGGAGAAGACCACTCAGCACCGGGCCTGGGGGAGCAGGAAGAGGAGCCCGGGGCGGCCCGGCCACCCGCAGCCGGCCTACCTTCCTGGCGGATGCGCACGTTGTCGCTGGGCCGCAGCTTGCTGCCCTCGCGGAACCACTGGGCGGGCACCTCGTCGTGGGACACCTCGCAGGAGAAGGTGGCCCCTTCCTTCTCCATCACTTCGACATCTTCCAGGGGCCTCACGATCTGCACGTTGCGGCCTGGGGCGGCGTGGAAAGCCCTGTCGCGCCCAGACGCACGGCCCCTCCCAGCGTCCCCCCACCCCGGCCAGCACCACCCCTCCCCGCCCAGCTGAGGGTGACGGGGCGGAGCCAGCAGGTGCGCGAAGAGGGGAGGGCCGTGCGCCCGCCCTCACCTTGCACCTTCACGGAGGCGGAGCTCTGGGCGTCCCCAGCGTCACACACGTAGACGCCCTGGTCCGAGAACTCGCAGCGGTAGATGACCAGACTCCTGCAGGCGCCCTGGGCCGCCACGCCCACCGTCTTGCCCGCCCGCAGCTCCACGCCATCCTGCGGAGCAGAGGCCCGGTCAGGCGCTAGGGGGCCCACCCGCGCGCTCCCGCTCCGGCCCGCCCACGTGGGAGGCGGGCAGCACGCAAGGGAGTCCCGGAGGAGCGGGAGGCACCTTCAGCCAGCGCACGTCGACGTTGGGACGCGACAGCTCACAGTCCAGGGTCACCCTCTCCTTCTGGGTGGTCACCACGTCCTGCAGGGGGCGGGTGAACCGCACAGGCAGCTCTGGGGAGGCAGGAGGGGCAGGTGAGGGAGAGGCGGGGCTTGGAGGTGCCTTCCGGGCGGGGTCGGAATCACGCAGAGCTGGCGCCAAACGAGCTCCGTGGCGGGGTTCCACGTCCCGCTCCCTCCGTCCCCACGCGCCTCCCCAAGCGCCCTCAGGAGCAGGGGCAAGAGCGGCTCGGGAGTGAGTCCACGCACCCGAGACGACGAGCCGCGCGGACGTGTGCACGCCCTCCGCCTTGAAGGCCACCAGGCCGCTGTCCTCCGGCCGCAGCCCCGCGAGCGTGAGGGTGTGCGTGGGGCCGCGCACGGCTAGGAAGCACGTGGGCCCCGGCTGGAGCCGCAGGCCGTCGCGAGTCCAGGTGCCCTCCACGTCGGCGTGGGACAGCTCCACTTCCATGGTGGCCGCGCCCTGCTCCCGCGCCTGCACCTCCTGCAGGCCCCGCACGAGGCGGACCTGGCGCACTGTGGGACCCAGGCGGGGGCGCGGGTGAGCCGCTGCGCGGAGACCCTCGCCCTCCGAGCCCGGTGCGGGGCAGCGGCTTCCC